GCGTAGTGAGTGTAGGGGCTTCGGGCATACTCGCACTAGGAGTTTTTTTGCTTGTTTCTGGATGGATTCCTGGTCAGATACGTCCAGTGCATGACAGGCATGTGCGCAGTCTTCTTAGGGCGTACACACACGAGTAGGGCTGTCGTGCGCTGCATGCAAGCGTGGTCCCCCCCACATCTAGATGTGTATAAGAGACAGGTGCAGGCTACGCCCGCAGAAATAACAAATGCAGTGGGTGACCTCACACTGAACGCTCACATAAACTCAGACAGACTTAGAAAGGGGGAAAAAAAAGAATCAAAGGGTAATAACGACTATCCTCAAACCCACTCCGCGGAGCACAATTGTCGAATTAAAAAAACGATAGATTGAAAATTCAGACAAAAAGAGAAGGAGTAAAGCGGAGCAGAGAGCGAGACAGATAGAGAGAGACAGAAAGAAAGAAAGACACACACACACACACACACACACACAAACAGAGAGAGAGAGAGAGAGAACAATGCCTACAAAAAAGAAGAACAAGAACAACACCCGAGACCGTTGTTGTAGGCATGATTTTCCCAGGAATCTGGGCCCAACCCATGTGGGTGAATGCTACATGCATATAGCTGTTTGTTATCAGATTCCTGGAATCAGATGACGGCGTTGTTGGAGGCATGATTTTCCCAGGAATCTGGGCCCTAACTAACTTCATTGTCCATCTGATTCCATCATCAGGATTCGAACCCTGATGATGGAATCAGATGGACAATGAAGTTAGTTAGGGCCCTTAGGGGCTACCCCTTCTGTAGTAACCCTGTTCAGAAATAGCCTGGGGCCCAGAACTCAGCGCCAGGGAACGCAGACCTGAGCTGGTCTGCGCTGGGCTGTGTGACCAAGAGACGCCCAGGCCTGAGTCTGTCGCGTTGGCTGTGCGACAAAACACTGCACACAGGAAATTCAAAGGTGAAAGTCAACTGTAGAGTCAAAGGTACCGCACCCAGGCCCTTGGTTGGATACACTCACTTGTTGTGCGCAGGTACCCAGACAAGCATCCAGGCCGGAGGGAAATCGGTTTCAGACCAATCTGGGCCTTACTTGCATCAAGATCCAGACGGCTGTGGGTGGTAGCATCCAGGGTCCAGACCCCGAGTCAACGCTACATAAGCGCTGACTTTCCTGGCTTTGACATTCATTATGTTTTGTGTTGATGCTGACATCCCGCGTCGACTTCAACGTTCGCTCGACGCTGCGACGCTCGCATTGTGATTCGGCGAGGCACTGCTGGTCCGGCATGGTGGCTGGCTTGCACCTGTCTGCTTGGCATGCTGACGTGGCAGCTGCCATGCGCTGTCGCTGATGTGGCTGTTGCCACGTGTTCTTCTGTTTGTTGACGAAGCGAAGCTA